CTCTCTCTCTCTCTCTCTCTCTCTCTCTCTCTCTCTGCTCTGGGTCGGCACAGGAAAACAGAGGAGGAGGTAAAGGCGTTGGATCCAGTGGAGCTCGGTCGGAGAAGCAGGATGAGAGGTCGGAGGTTTCAGCTTGGTTCGGATCGGAGATGAAGATGTTGGGTGAAGAAGTCGGCGGGAGGAGGAGATGAGGGGTTCGGGAGCAGGCCGAAGAGGAGGTCGTGGGATGTGGGAAGAGGAGTCGGAGAAGCAGCCTCAGAAGCCTCCATTCCTTCGCTATTTAACGACCTCTGCGGATGCTCGATCGAGGCCGGTTCACGGGAATAACGGAGAAGTCATCGCAGTTTCAACGGGATTTGATCGGTTCGGCAGTCCGAGGTACGCGATGTTTCAGCTGGATTCACGGGATTTGATCGCAAATCAGAGCAGCTCGCAGGATTTCATGTAGGATTTCGGCGATCCTTCGACAGTCCGAGGTATGCGGGATATCCGGCAATATTCGTGGACCCGACGGATTGGAACAAGTATATATTTCATTTTTATTCTTCTTTGGATATTATATGGAGGTCAACAATCATGAAAATATGTTATCAACATTATTTGTGTTAAAGCAATTAATGTGAAAAATAATGAGTAGAAAAAGGTTTTCAAATATTTTGTATTGATTTTATGTTAATGAAATTAATGTAAAAAATAAAGAGTAGAAAAAGATTTTCAGGTAGTTTTTCTTGATTTGGGAAAGGCACGACTAAGTAACACAATAATTAATTAGGTTCAAATAAAATTTGCGTGTGCTAAAGGTATAATAAAATTATAAAGATATGTATAGTGAAACATTAATTAGCTTTAGAAATAGTCATGGAGTGACCAAGAAGTGTCTCCAATTACAGTAGGTTTACTTTAAGGTTCAGCATTATGTTTGTATCATTTTGAACTAGTTATGAAGACGCTTACAAAGGATACTCAATATCTTATATTTTGAAAATGACGTAGTTCTAATCATTACGACTTTTTTTGGAAAAGAGTTGAAAGTTGGAGTTGTTGAGACTATTTAGAAGAAAAAGAGCTTATGATTAGTAAAACAAAGATTGAACATATGATTGTGGGTGTGATATTTCTCTTTATCACCTAATATTACTATAAGATAAAGTTATACGGTTATACCTAGATTCGATAGCTTTAAGTGATTTGGATCTATATATAAAAGTATCAATATATAAATGAGGATATAACTTCTAAAGATAAGAATAATTAATTAAAATGAAGAATGTCTCATAAGTATTCTGACATAAAAAAATTATGTGGAGAATTAATTGTAAATATTATAAAACTGGAATTAAGTCATCTTTGTTATATGAATCGATGTGTTATGCTGTAAAGAGGCCAAAATTGACAAGTTGAGCATGAGAACTTTGTATAAATTATTAATGATATATTTAGAGTCATTTATTAAATATGAGATAGTGAAAAATAAACTTGCATTATTTGGGCATGTTCGATAGAAGATTTACCTATAAGACATGTTAAGTTTATATAGAAGAATTATAAAGAAAAATTAGTAAATAAAAATAAAATAGGGTAAAATTTTCACAAAACTATTTTAGCACCTTAATATAGATAGTTCTTGGGAATGATTAGTGAGGATTCCTAAAGCTGATCCAAGTAGTTGGGATAATGCTATTGATGATATTCTTGATGATAATCGATGCATGGAAACTCTAATATCCTTGATCTTTAATAAATATTATATCAATTGTGATAATCCATGTTTACATTTAGGATTTGCTTGATAACCTTGATATATTTTATATTTAGGTCATAATTAAGAAAATATAAATGTGACTAATTCTTTTCCCAAATTAGTGTTAGCCACAATAACCACTCTTCTCTAGCTTGAAGGGGGTAGTAAGTCAAGGTTGTTGTTGTGAGCATCATGTGTATGTGTTGGTTGGATTGATGGTCCAAATAAATGTTCCATGACAGAAAGTACCTCGATTTTTATGATTTAATCTTGTTAAAGCTATATGATATGTTATTAAGATCAATATTGAGTAGAATATTAGTAATCTTGTTCTGCTAGAGGAGAATAGTCTTTAGTAAACAAATTCCTAGGATAGCTTAGAACATGATGAGAATTTATAAGGCAAATTGTGATTCCTTTCCATAACGCAAATTAGCCATGAATCTCTGAATAATCTCCATACTTAGACAGCCCCACAAAAACTTGCCAACCAAGGAGGGGGAGAAAGGTGAAGCTAACTAATTGATCTCTTAATCAAATAAAATGAAAGAATGTTTAACTTGAAAAGATGGTAGTTACTGATGGAAGCTGCATGGATAAGCTGAAAATGAGGGGTAAAACAAGAAGAGTTTGGCAAGGACCATGATCCTAATTTTACTTAATACATTAGAAAAATGTTGTGGAGCATCATGCAAAGGAGAAACCATAAAGGGTTTCCTAGGAGCTGTAATTGCCACATGAAAAGCCTCACAACTTAGACAACTCAGAAGGGTAGTTATTGAATTGTATGTGATAGATGTCAAGGGAAGATCCAGAGCCAGAGGGAGTGAGAGAGTTTAATGTCTAGTAGGATCAACCACGGTTTAAAATTGCGCAATATGAGGCTCGCCTTGAGACCCGCCTTTGCGCAATTCCAGTAAAAAATGCCTCGATGCCCGCTTCGCCTCACTGGCATGAGGCTTACGCCTCACGCTATATATATTAAAACTTACATAAATCTTTGAAGTAAATGCCCGACATTGGACTCTATAGGAGAGGAGGAAAGGGAGAGAGCAGTTCACAATAATGATGATTCAAATGAAGAATCCCTTAGTGATGACACTGCTGATGACTTATGAGTTCTTATGTGATATGTCATTGCTATTTATTTTTTAAAATTGGAATTATATGTTAATGAAAAGAATACTGGGATTTGGGAAAGATAAAATTTTGAGTTGAACTATATTTCATATTGTCTTATTATTGAGATATTTTGATCTCACTTCATATCTTATGTTTTATATTATTCACTCATTAGTATATAAAAAATTTATCATTCTATGTTTACGCATTTTTTTTGATTTTGAGGCTTACGCCTTGAGGCTTACGCCTCGCCTCACGAATGAAAAACGCCTCAATACCCGAATACGCAATTTTAAACATTGGGATCAACAGAATATAAATTTATCAAAGGCAAGCCAATCTGACACACTACGGGTGCTGTAGAGCCAACACCAATAATGGGAATTGACATGAGCGCCTGCGAACAACAATCATATGCAAGTGGAGTATGTGCAGTAGTCCCCACAAGTGGAGAAAGCATGCACAACACTAGCATGATCAAATGGGCTTGAACTCTGCCTAGCGCTGAGGGAGGAGTGTAACAAGTAGAGCTAAGACGCACAATAACTCCAAAAGATGAATAAAAAACTGGAATTATGATTAATCCATCTTGTAGCTAAATCAATGGTTTGCACTTATCATTCTGAAGAAACTTGTTCAACCATGTTTGTTATATTAGACTGCAGTTATATAAGAAATTAAATCTAAGGAACTTACCACAATTGTTTTTTCAAAGGTAAGAATGAATTCTTACTGATGATCATGTTATAAAGCAGTCTATACCTAATACATCATGCCCACTCGTATTCTGAGCATTGTAACAACCAAAATACTGCTACATTATAACTACTTAGCATCATCGTAAACCATAACCACACATTAATGGCTAAATATGTATGGACAGCAAATATATATTTCAAGGATAGGTATTACCCTCACACGTCTTTTTAAGTCTTCCATATTTTTGTATAACTGAGACTTTCAATCAATTAAATATAATATTAGAAGTTGAAAATGGTGGATGAATGTTTTTGTGGAAGACATGCCAAAGGTAAATTGATATGTGATACAATCTAATTGAGATGTGTCACTTCTGAAATTAACACGAGTACGATTTTATTTTATTTTTGTATCATATTATTATAAGAAAGCAATTTGTTTAAGTTGGATTTCACTGTTGTAATAGTCTATTGCTTAATGAAATATTTCTCAATGTTAGAAAAAATTAATATACTTATTAGCTCAAAATAAAATAATAAGACCGGTGTAAACTCAAAGTTAAAGTTGTGAGTTCCACTAATTAATTATGATTGCAAAATCTATCATATTATTATAATTAGATTATACTATATAAAATAAGAAATAAAAATATGGTGTTTAAAGAATATTCTAGTTCAAATTCTACTTTTGTCTTATAATTTTCTTTTGTTTACTTGTCTTAATCTAATATATTATGATCAAAGCATTTCCCAGACTATTTGAATTATAAAAATGTTTATATATATATATATATATATATTAT